GCTTTTGGGGTTTAATTAGGTAGTCACCTAGCCTGATTTGATATTGGTCTAGATTTAGGGATCTCCTAGCATGAAAGTGGATAAGCTCTATCTTCTCCTGGTCAAACTGGATAAGGCTATCTAATCCTTTTTGGAATAGCTTAGAAGCTGCTTTTTCTAGAAGCCTACAGTTAGCTTCTAGGCTCTTAGAGCTTGCCACTAGGGCTATATCATCAATATAGCTTAGATATCTGACTTGACTAAGCTGAGCCTTTTCTTCCTCATCTAATTCCTCATCGAATTCAAATAGGTATCGAATATAAATGAGAAATAGGATAGGAGAGATAGGAGAACCTTGGGGTATGCCTATTTGAATAGGGACCTCCTGACTAGTCTCATTATCAAATGTTAGTTGAATCTTTCTATCTGATAGGAATGATGAGATCCAACTAATCCTATAGGCTATATGGTAACCCTAGCCTAATACATACTCTGAGTAATTGATTTGTGGAGACATGGTCAAAAGCCCCTTTGACATCAATAAATAGGGTAGTAGTCATCTCTTTTCTATGTTTAGCAGTCTGAATATCATGAACTAGAGATAAGACTGCATCTATAGCTGATTTTCTCTGCCTACCCCCTATTTGGTCAAAGTAGAGTAGGCTGGCCAGTTTGGTCAATTTAATAAGATTTATGACTTTTTACTTATAGGAGAATAGGTGCAAAAAGGTGTCAGGTACCCCTAGTACTAAGACCTACTAAATTTACTAGGCATAGGCTATCTCTGTAACCTGATAGGCTTCTCTAAAAATTTATACTAGGACACTTAAAATATATAAAATTAAAATTTTAATATATACCCCTAGATTTATATAGTATATTTAGGTCTTAGCTATAATACTAAACTAACGAAGCCTTAAGATTAATCTCTTTATTAATTATAAAATAGACTTAAGGTCTTTTATATTCTTTATTACTACCCTTTTTATTATAGGCTTATTATATAGAAATAGCCTTCTAGTACTTATATATAAATAGTATTTTTTATTATATAGGGGTTTATCTATAGCTCTTAAATAGTTATAATATATATATCTTTTTTTTATTTCTTTCTTACTAAAGAGGTATACTATAACTTTATTCTTAGATTCTTAGTAGTTAGCTTAAAAGATCTTAAATTAATTAATCATATTAATTTAATATAATAGCTATTTATTATTGTTTTACTCTAATCTATTATAGTACTTGAAACTTAAGTCTAAAAGCTACTTAATTTATTTTTATTATTAGATTAGTTATAAGACTTATTTAAGTTATAATATTTTTTCTTAATTATTACCTTTATAAGCTTTTTTAAAAAATATTATTTAAGTTACTATATTAAGAGTTAATAATATGATAAAAATAAAAAAAGGTAATTAACTAAGATTTAATAAGAGCCTTAATTATATCTTTTATAGCTAATACTATAATATTAAATTTAAAGGAAAAGTCTAAGTCTATAAAATATAAAAGTATTATTAATATAGCTAAATCTACCTTTTTAAAAAGATATTTTTTAGATAAAACCTTTTTTTATAAAGAGTTATTCTTACCTATAATACAGGTCTAGCTTTTATTATTTAATTTAGCCTTAAGTTATTAAAGCTCTTTAAAAGTTTAATATCTGATAGTCTATTTTTTAGTATTATTTTTTAATTAAACCTTTTTAGGTTATTACTTATTTATTTAGGTTTTAAGGTACTAATATATATATTAATAAGCTTTATAGGTATTAGCTTATCCTTAGTTATAACTATAATAGATATAGCCTCCTTTTATTATAGGAGTTTTTAAGAATTATTATTAAAGTCTTAATAGCTAATATTAAAGTCTTTTTACTTTAGTTTATTAGATCTCCTTAATTCACTCCTTCCTCTTTTTATATTTTTATTAAAAAAAGAAGTGTCTAGACTTCATATATAGTATATTTAGCTTTAGTCTTATTTACTTTATTTAGGTAGTTATATTATATAGCTCTATATAATATATTGGAAAGTGTTATTTTCATTATAATAGAGGGGATCTCTAAAAGAATATTTATATTTACCTTATCTTAAAAGATATAAAAAGACCTTTTATAAATATAAAATTAACACCGGGTAGTTGATCTCGCCCATCCAGGCGAAGTGGCCCGAGTCGGCGTACGCGCTGGAGATCGAGCACGCGTCCTCCATGTTGAGCGAGCGGTTGATGAAGGCCACGACCACGTACTTGCACGGGAGCGAGATCCTGCAGTCGTCCGTCTGCGTCCTCCTGATGGCGTCCATGAAGTCGTCATGACGAGCGGCTCCTGCTCGCCCAGCGACTTCAACGTGGCGTCGCCCATCACCGGGAGCGAGTTCATGCCCTGCAGCACCATCTGGGCCGCGAGGTTGGGCCTCGGCTCGGTCGTGAACGCCGAGAACGGCGCGTACGTCAACGTGATGATGTTCATGTACTGCCGGGGCTCTAGTTCGCGGGACGGGAAGCGCATGTTCAGCATCTTGAGCGTGTCGCTGTGGTAGACCACCATCGTGTCGACGTACGGGCCCTCGAAGACGAACTTCCCGTCGATCACGTGCAACCTCATGGGCCTGATAACGGTCCCGCTCGCTCGGGCGCGGCGACGCAGGCGGCCATGTTGCCGAACCTGAAGCTGACCGAGTTCGTGCTCGGGATCGGGCCCGCGAAGCCGGACATGAAGCTGCCCAAGAAGAGGATGTACTCCGACGTCGTGATCGTGGGCAAGGACCGCGACTGGATCCTGACGCAGTGGCTGTCCAAGGACGTGATCATGGAGCCGGTCCCGAGCACTGTCAGGAACAAGCAGGAGCAGGCGAAGAACAGGCAGAGCAAGCGCACGATCAGCGTCAACTTCGCGAGGTTCGGGCTGCCCATCAGGTCGTTCGGAGCCGTCTTCAACACCCTCAACCAGAACATCGGGGGCTGATGGACTCG